GTCTAGGCTTGATTGCCAATGCTATATAGGGTGCAACTTCGGTGGGCTGCGGGCTTGGGTTGGGATTTTGTTAAAATTTGAATGAGCCCTGCCTGGAAACCCAGGCCTGATGCAGTCTAAAATGTTCAAATCGGGTACCTCACTTGCACCTTTGATACTATAACTTGACGGTGGAAGGTGTGGCTTTATTTTTGCAACTTTTAGTATGAGTTTTATATTTCCCTTAATTCTTTCATTTACCTGAGTACATGACTCTGAGTCCCTCTGAATTCAGCCTCGTGAACACTGAAATGGCATTAGTAAGGATTTGAATTGTTCTGTGTAAGGGGAGGGGGCAGGGGGCAACCTCACATAAGGAATGCTGGGCATTCTAGTGTATCATATGTAATTATTCTGTTACATAATATAATAAGGTTCAAGTTATTGATTGAAAAGATTTGTGTTGTTTTTTTCAATCAAAAAGATTTGAAATGTTCCAAATTCTTAAGTTACATTTTTGAATTTCTTTCCTTTCTTCCAATTTCTGTTCTCAGATTCCAAAGATGAGGCATGCTAAGGAAGAACAAGCATGCAACAGTGAACAAGTAAGCATTTATGAAATTGTTATATTTGGTAATTTGCTGAGATATTTCTAAACTTTATCTCGTTGGCTCATGGAAGTTACAATTAATGCTGTAAACTGTACAGGGCTAGGGGTGATCATTCTTGGCCCTGCCTGGCCTGTCTCAGCCCGCTCTGGGGCAGGGCCCACGTTTTTGTGTGCAAGCCTGGCCTGACCTGTGTCTGCATTAAGCCCAGAAAATTCTTGGCTGGGCTTGGGCCCAACACTTCAAGCCCAGCCCAGCCCGCAATATAATATAATATGTATTCTTAAATATATACTATTTTTATATTATATTATTATTATGCGTTATATATAATAAAGTATATATACCTAATGTTATATATATGCAAGTATGTTTTATTTTATATTAAATATTAACTTTACTATTCCATTCTACTACTGTTAGGGGGGTGAAGAAGAGAGGGAAAATTCTATGGAGATGTGTAAGAGCAGCTGTATGTTGGACAGTTTGGGAGGAAAGGAACCAACGGACCTTTCATGGGAAAGAAAGAAATAAAGCTGTAATTATTGAATTAATTTCCATATGGGTGATTCAGTGGGCTAAGACCTTGCAAATTTTTGAAAACTACTCAGAAGGAGATATCATCAGGAAGTGGAAAGAAGTGGCTTGGTCAGTTCCAAGGAAGAATGTATTTCACCCAGTTTGGTTCTCTCAGCTTCAGGCTACTAAATTAAACTTTGATGGAAGCAGCAAAGGAAATCCAGGTCTGTCGGGTATGGGGGGAGCTTTCAGGGATGATGAAGGTTGAATTATCGCATTGTATTCGGGTCCTATTGGTTGGGGGGACTCTCTTAGAGCTGAAATATTGGCTGTTATGGAAGGGTTAAAAAGAGTTCAAGAGTTAAATATCAGAAACCTGATAGTGGAAGGTGATTCTAAATTGACTATCAACTGGTTAATGAAAGATGATTCTAGTTTGTGGAAGCTTCTGAATGAAAAGAAGAAAATTAGATATCTCACACAAAATATGGAAGTCAAGTTTCAGTGGACTAAGAGGTGTGCCAATTCCTTGGCAGATTCATTGGCTAAACAAGGGGTGGGAAGAGATAATTTGTTCTGGGCAACGCTGTAATCTGAACTGTTCTCTTGGGAGGGTTAAGAGTTTTTACCCCTCCCTTTGTATTTTTCTATATTAATCTCTTAATAAAAGTTTTTGTTATTTATCAAAAAAATAAATAAAATATAAGACTTTTTAACACATAAATATGCATGAGTTGACATGTGTCAATACATGAGTCAACTCAAGTAAGAGAATTTTCCTCCTAGAGCAAGGCCTTTTATAAATGAAGGTGAGGCCTTCATTCACATTCTTGAGTGATGTGGACTTGGGACAAAACTAAATTATAAGTTTGTAACACTCACTATTGAGTGTTGTTTCATGTTCCACATTGCTCATGAATGGAAATCAAGGCAAAAGGATAGGTAAGCCAAGCTAAACCAAATTCAAGGATTAAATGAGGCCCATTCTTTTATTTTTTATGCATAGGCCCAAAGCCTAGCCAAGCCCAGTCTAGTTTGGGCTTGTGCAATGTTTTCTTCATGTATTATAAATCATTTAATTTAAAGATTTTCAAATAATTATTTTTTTTCATCCAGCCTGGAAAACTTGTAAGACTGGTGGCTTGGGGTCGTGTAGGTTCAGACCTGGGCTTGTAATTTAGGTCTGGGATGCGGATCAGGCTGGGCTTGGGCCTAGGGCCCAGCCTAGGATGAAGCTAAATTTTATCATGAAAATCTAGCTTCTTACCTTCCCCATCTCGGTCCAACCCATGATCACCCCTATACTGGGGTGACCCTATAAAAATAAGTAACATACATGGAAATGATCATTCTGGGGAAAATAACAATGAAACTAATGTGGAACCAAAAGAAGAGCTAGAAGAATGAAAACAAGACAAAATGTAGAAAAAGCAAAACACAAAAATGGGTATTGGAAGCAAAAATCTACTTTTTGAGAGATACAGAGTAAAGGGGAAGATCACGCTGAAGATTAGGGAAATAAGAAAGGCCATGGTAATGTTGGTAGGTCTCAATGTGATTGAATGGTTCAAATTATTTGTGGAAGGTGCACTTCAGTCGGGTAAGGGAAAGAGTGGAAGAGTTCGAAAGAAGAAGATGAATGAAGGTACTTTGCAGAAAGAAGATGGAACAAAAAGGTGGTTTCTTGGCCCTGTATGAATATTTTGAGGAAGGTAAGAAGCAACTAGTCTGCTTTCCTGAAGGAAGAAATGGCTGAAGTTGTAAGGAGATCAAAATATTGCTACAAGAGTTCCTGAATAGGATGATGGAAGGGACTGAGATAAAACAAAGCAATGGAGAAGTAGAAAAACTTAGCCCTAAGAAGATAGCAGAATCAGGTAAAAATATTCTAGTGAATGGTTTGGGTATTGATAAGTTGGTTTATAGCATAGAGAAGGTAGATTGGGAAAAGAAATTGGTGGTTGAAGTAAAGAAGAAACTAGAAAACTGGAGGATTGTGGCAGATGATTTAATTAAAAATTTGAAGTTAACTACCTATCAAAAAAAAAAAAAGTTGACCGGCCTTCTATTATTCACCCTTTTTGATTACTGTAAAGCAGTGCTAAACTTAATGGATGATGGATTAGATGTTAGTGCAATGAATTTCCAGCTGTGCACTGGAGCAGCTGTAGTAATGAGATGGTACCCTAGCTCAAACTTAAGACCTTTTTTGTGGAGGATGGTGTAACTATTCGGGTTGCTGGTCTACCTTTCCATCTATTGGAAGGTGGAGGTTTTTGAATTGATTGCTTCCTTATGAAAGGCGTGCCTAGAAGGTGTCTTCCTGTTAGATCTCCAATCAGCAGCCATGAGTGTAAGTGGAGTAACGCCTGAAGAAATTCCATGGAAGATAGAGGTTTTTGTAGATAATAGATTCTACTCGGCATGGCTATTGTCCTCCATTTAAGCTGCTTTGTGGAGGGATTCTAGGTAGGTGGAAGACAAAAAGCTTGAAGAAAACTACCTATGTGGGACAGAGATTGCCCTATTTGAAAATGATTGAAATTTATATGAAAATGGAAGGTTTGGGGAAGAGGAATGAAAAAAAGTTTGTTTAAAGATGAAAGTTTTAAATGTGCAAGCTGTAGAGAACACTGATGTGGGCCCCACAGCTATGGTCCCACTGTGTTCGTAGGGTAGAAGATGTTCTAGTCTGCCTAGGGTTAGCTATTGGTCATTTAGTTGTTTCAGTTGTTATTTATTTCAGTCTTATTTTTTGCTCTATTTGTTATGTAAAGACTAAGGGCAGATCTGTCCTTTCCTTGT